AGCAGTCAGGTCTATTGCTAAATGGGTTTCTGAAGAAAGATATTCCATGATATTCCATGATTTGAAGAGAGGTGTTTTTGAATTAAAATGTCAGTCATCATTGATTGCTTGTAAATTCATTTAAATTCAAAGCATACATCATTAATTAACAGTTTAGTTTTATTTTTAAACTTTTACTTTTAAAATCCAATCTTGAGTTTCAACTTGTTTTAGAAGTTAAGGTGTTGTCTGATGTACATAAAGTATTAGTCTAAAAATAACCCCACATCTGACGTCAAAAGAAAACATAATTTTGCCAGGGCACTAAATTACCATCTGCTCATGAGCTTGTGGATGTCAAATGTCTATCTTTGTTTCTTCACGCTGTCAGTGGAATGCATTAATTGATTTGCTGACTCATTTGCGGAGCACAGTGTGGCAGGGAAATTTCTAGAAATTCAAAGAAGTTCAACGTGCCTGAGAACCTATAAACAAACATTTTACAGGACATTGTGCAAAATCTTTTGAGTAGAACTTATTCATACTTCATTCTCTTATTCTTGTGAAACAATGAGTTTTTAGTAACACTGAAAAATTTGTTAAGACTCATTATTGCATTTTTTTAGGTACACAAGCAACCATAATAACACTTAATGAACCAGAAGTTCAAAAAGGCTTAACTAAAGCTCTTGTAAATGATCCTTAGTTAAATTTTGTGGTAGTTTCTATTGTTAGTAGCAGTTGGACAACTTTTTGAAAACTAATTGCATTTATTTTTAGATACACAAACAACCATAATGACACTTAATGAAGGAAATTATTAACTATGCTAATAATTTGCAGGTAATTAAATGTTTTGCAAAGCAGCATTACTTGTAAATTATGAGCACATTAAGGTTTAAGGCATTTGAATATTTATAATAATGCTAAACGTGACGGGATTTAACTATCACGTTAAATCCTGTCACGTAACAGTTTAGGTGTGACTAAATTTTGTGCTGGTGCACTTAGGAAAAAAAGTCAATTTAGAGTCCTGCTAAAATCTTAATGACAACCTGAGATGGGGAGTCTGCGCAAATTCTGTTCAAGTAAATGTAGCATTGCTCCAGCATGTTTTCATTCAACTAAAAATAAAAATGGATCCAAGAAATTCCTCATGAAAGTATTTTTTTTTTTCAAAAATGTTACTCAAGTAAAAGTAACTGAGTAAATGTATCTATTCAACCTTTTATTGGCTTATCACAATAAAACCCAAGAAAATTTATTGCAATTTGTGTTTCTACAATGAGAAAATGGTAAGTTTTCTCATTAAGTAGGCTTAAAAATGTTGATGTACGATTTTTTGGAAGAGATTAAACAAAACAAAAATGATCAAATACAGAAGCAATCAGAAAGGGAGCAGATACTGATCTACCTTGTTTGGTAATTGAGGATCTGTGACCCTCTTGACTTTATGTTTCTCTTGGCATTAGCTGTAATGTAACTTTGCAACAATAGTCCTGCACATCATGAACCATAAAATACATCTTGGCTTTGTTTCTGAAGGAAAGTATTTGTGATGACATCATCCACATTATGTTTTGGAGACATGTTGTTCAATGCCATTCATTACACTAGGGAAGGCATGAGGAACGTACAGCATTCACTTTCTGTTTTCTTATACCTGTTCTGATCTCGTTGTTCTTCCATCAGTTGTCATCACTGTTTTTGTCTACTGAATCAGCATTCATAGAAGCTTCTCAGGCTTCTGCGTGTTGATGAGAAGTTTTGAAATTTTCAAGCTCAATGACGAGTTGACACTGGACTGACAATGAATGAACATGCACATCTTTTTAAAAAGAAGTTAACATCCTTATCATTGCGGTATGTTGCAATTTCTAGATTAACTGGCCACTCTAAATTGCCTTAAGCCTTAAGGCATAAATGTCTGGATTGTTGGTGGTTCCCTGGTGGTCTCCCACTTTTACATGTTTTGGAGCTGGAGGTAGAGCAGGTTTCTAATTGGTTCTTTGAAAACAAACATAACTGGTTTGATCTTTTCATAGCACTTGAGCTATACATAGTACCACAGCATTGTGTCACGTTTATCTTGTCTATGAGGATCTGAATGAAGAAAACCAGTTTATCAACCATGACACAGTGTTTGTCTTTTGTTGCCATTGCCTGACTTTCATTTATGTATCATATGGATCCTGTTTTAATCAATGAAGCTTTATGAATGTTATTAAAAAATGTCATGCACATAGGTCACAATTCAATCATGTGAACCAAACTTTTAATCAGAATTTTAAAAATTGTAACACCTTAGCTGCTATTTTTAGACAAAAAGTGAAGGCTTTGTTAAATTCCTTGAAGTCTTGATTAGGCCTCTGACACGTGCATTGTTGAATTTTAACATTTCACTTCCTACAAAAGTTAGCAGCTTTGGATTGTCCTTAAGTTACGTAAAAACGCCAGGTGTTGAAAACAGAAAGGACTTCTGCAAACTTGGTAAGTGAATGCTGCTTAAAGTATGCTTGTGTATATTCTCAGCCATCTCAGGCACATCTATCACAACAGGCCTAAGTCAGAGGAAACTGGACATTCACTCAGGAAAACTGATTGAAAACCAAATGTTTTTAGAATAACTGGTACAAACAGGTCATATTGTTAATCTAAACCAGAGTATGAAGCGCTCCAAAATGCAACATGATGCCCTTTTTTAGTCATGCATAGTGTCACCTGTGAAATTTGGTGTTTTTCTATTGAATAATCTTCAATTCTCTGAAGACTCAGACTAACTGACACATCAAAAGAAGTTTGTCCGGACTCCCAACGATGACAGGAACAGCCCGTCTGCGATATCAGTTGATCATTTGGTTGGAAGATTGAGAGGTGAAAAGCCTATTTGTGTTTTTCTGATTAGAACCTGTTCTTTGATATTTGCATTTTTTGTATAAATTTTGCTCTCATTTTCTCATGTTAATTTATTTAGTTTTGTATTTTTTTCCCCTTGTTACACACATTTTCTTGTCTGAATTTTTCATGCAAATATGAGAAATTGTGTTTCAGAGGCTGCACAGCATAGCAACAGGCAGCATACTAATTGGTGCCAGGACCAGCAGCTAAATTGGCCACAAATTGTTGATCTCATAGCACAAAATTGACTTTTCTTTCCAAATTCAAAGGACTTTAGAATATGCTGCTCATGAAGCCTTCAACATATTGTTTTTAAGCAAGTCTGATTGCCACATCAGTTCTGAAGATCTGTGCCAAATAGACAACTAGTTTCATTATCTCTATATAAGTTAAATACATTAACTTATATTTAAATCACTTGACACTAAGTACATATCCTAGTAGGGATAATTAGTTGGATATGAGATTTGACCATTTGGTCAAATTGACCACATTCTCAAAGTGGTGATTTGAGAATGGCTGAGCTAAGATCCTTTGGGACTTCCAGCTTCAAACAGACAAAATGGGAATGACCAACCAAACTGGACAAAATGATCATTGTAGGTGAGAATAGTTATTTTTTACAACTATTAGTGGACTGTGTTGGATTGTGTAGAGGTGGCTTTCAGGCAAGAACTATAAATTCTTTGTATGCATGAGCATAGTGACACATTTCCTGTTTTAGGAAGATAGTTGCTCAAATGTATAAATATGAGTTGAAAACATGTCAGTAACTCCAACATCAGACTATCATCTCAATTTTTAGATAATGTAAAAATAAGATACAATTTAAGTTTAAAACAGAAACACAAGCTCAACTTGTGTTGAGCTTGAACTTTAACACACATTTTCACAATGACATCATATGTCCTAAGTGATTTACATTCTCTGAATTTTCCCATGTATGTGTAAAAGTACTGTTCTGTCAAGCAAGCAAAATGAAGGGTGTTGGCTCATAAAATGTGCAGTCCACAGTCTCATGTATACATCTGCTGTTGCTCCTGTTTCTCTAGAGGGGAAAGTTTGAAATAAACCAATCAGCCTTCCTCTAACCACAAACTTACAATACCTGACCGTTAAGCCCCCTGAGGGTATTCTTAAAAACTAAACACACACGCACTCACAGTGTGTCTTTCAATTTTCACTTGTCCTCACCTAAGCTAATCTCAAGTCTCACCCTAAACCTGACCCCTGTCCCAAAAACAGAACTTTTTCTAAGGGAGCCCATGACTTATTGCCCTAAAGGAGCAGTCAGTCTCCACAACATAGTATGTGCTAGGAAAATGGTCCTTACGCTTCATGGTTCTTACACTGTATCTAATACAAGGCCACACACACACACACACACACATGTTTGATGTGCATTACTAGTCATTTATTTGGTCCTGCAGCTTGAATTTGGTTTACAAATTTTTTAATCCATGTCCTACATTATTTCATTGTAACCTTGCCGACCCCCCCAAAATTGCTCTTAAGACATTTTTCTGTTGATGGTTCCCCCCAATAATGAGATGGCATTTACGCCCTCGTAGTGTACATAACTACAGTTTCAATCAACTTCCATACAAGATTCACCAGGAAGACTGAAACTCCTCTGTAACTCCTCCTCATCTCACTTCTGGTCATCAGTGCCATCCAGATGTCACGCTTCGATGACAAATACATCAGAAGATAAAATTCAAATTTGATCCGATCCTCCCACTAATCACAATCATGAGATTCACCACTTTTCACTCTGTCATAGTCCCAGGCATATGGTTCCTGCTTCATGCACTGGAACTGGAAATGTGGCTTCCTGAGCAGGAACATCTCGCTCTTATGAACACACTTCATAAACCTTCTAAAAATTAGTTCTGTATCTTGTCAATATCAATTTTTGTTTATATTTCCACATTTCAAGCCTCGACTTGGTTTTTTGTCCTCATTTCTTTCTCAAATATCTGATTCAAACACAAATCTTTCCTCACTGGAATTTTACAGCCGTGAGTCAGCGACAACAGCCGCTCAGACAAATCCGTAGTCGTCCAGTTATCTGAAAGGTATTCTTTTACTTGCACCAGCAGGCCCTCAACGTCACAGGTGTTTCACTACAGCTGTCAAGTTACAACCCAGCTCACGGGAAACTAAACACCATTTACTTACACCACATCAGACCATCTGATCTTCTCCTCAGACAATACCAGTGATGTTAAAATGCCCAAGTTTCTGTTTTCCAAGATTCGGTTTAGCGATATAAAGGATTTATTTCCAAATGTACAACGACCAAGAAGGTAAGCCAGACAGCATGATACTGACTATGAAAATGTTTTTCTCATTGTTAGTTATTATTTTGCATAGATTTAATTTGATTTGTGTGACAGGATTGATATTGTTCTGAGTCAAAGGAGGAGAAACTACAACATATGGTCCTCAGGTCAAAAATCAAATGGTGAAGCTTGTCCTTCGAACCTCAGGTAGTGGTTTTCTGGTCATTTATTGTTTCTGCTAGTAATATATTTTGTGTCCATGGCAGTAAAAATCTATAATAAATATTTGTGCTTCAGCTGGAAGACTGACAATAAACTTGACCTATCTCTGGAAAAATGGTTGAAAGATAAAAGTAAGTATCATTACAATCCTCCCAAACACTTTCAACAATTAAGGAATTACATAAGATACTGAACAATTGTTTGACTTTAACCTGTACTTTCCCAAAGGGTACAGAACAGCATTCCGTTCTTTCCTGGAGTCCGAGTTCAGTGAGGAAAACATTGATTTTTGGCTCGCATGTGAAGACTTTAGGTCAGCTTCAGATGACCTGAAATGGAGAGCTGAGGAGATCTATGAGGAGTTTATCAAACCTACAGCATGCAGAGAGGTCAGTTTGACAGTGATCCAGGAGTTCATACTGTACAATAAGAAGAGGAGTCGCCAACTTGGCCAGGAGTGGGCTCACTGTCATTTTCATTGCCATTTTAAAGAGTCTTACATGACTGAACGACTCATTGTGTCAACACAATGATCCAGAACAAGAATGAACAAGAATGAAGTGAAGCACAACATGTAAGCTTAGGATATCTCAACTTCCAACTCAATTTGTGCTCTGAGTTTCAGTGAAATTTTGGTATTTATTTCAAATGATGCCTTGAGCAGAAAATATTTAGATATATTTCCCAGCACATATCTTGGGTGATTTTTATTTGTGATTCTATTCACAATTGTTTATTTCTGAGCCAAATAGTGCTTCACATTTCATAGAGCTTTTATTTCTGAGACATCTCTTCTATGCCAGATTAAGTCATTGATTATTTTTCCTCCTTATCATAGCTGCACTCATTCACTGCACATTCTAAATTTAAACTTTCTTTCTTTTTTCTCTATTAGATAAATGTAGACCACAGTGTCAGAGAGAAGATCCAGGAGTCGTTGAAGAAGCCAAGTCGTTGCTGCTTTGATGAAGCCCAGAAACATGTCTACCTCCTGATGCTGAGAGACTCTTGTCCCAGATTCCTTCACTCAGATGCTTACCTGAGTTTGAAGCGCAAATCTAGGACCCATTGGTACATTTAGGAGAAAATAGGTACTGTTCCCATTTCAGGGGAAAAACACTACGACTCAGTGTCCTGGTACATTAACAAGACGTGTGTACAAGCTAAAAATGTTTTATGTTTGTAAGAATATAAAGTCGTTGAAAAGAACAGCTGAAAGAGAGAGGAGTTATGTGATGACTATGTGTATTGAAGGACAACGACATGCATGTTTATGCCTGTTCAGGGTTGCTTGTAAGTGCTGCATGTGTTGCTTGAAAGTCTAAGTATGTCAGGGGAGATTATGGAGAACAATAAAAGATTAATGTATGTAAACAATGGCATGACATTCCTTTGTTTTTTAAATGAGGGATTGTTTAGTATTACAGTTTATTTCTTAATGTTGATTCTTTTCTTCTTTTTTATTCCTTCTTTTGGATGCAGACTATTGACATTCCAGCAGAGTTTGGGACTTGAGTTTCAGTCAAATAGCATGAAGTTGTAAGCACAAGAACTTAAGACTCACCTGAAACAATGATCTGGGACTTCTGTCTCCTGATTATTTCATGATTAGGAGTGAAAAAAATTCAGTAAATGTACCTTTCAGTAGATGGTTCCTGCTCCTCGCTGTTATCATGGTGTATAGACAAACATGGTTGTCATTGTGATGTTACACAATGAGCATGGGCTCAATAGTCAAGTCAAGTTTCTTTTATAACACATTGAGGCATTTCAAACAGCTTTACACCAAATAAATATAATACATTAATTAATTGTAAAAAAGCAATAGACATTACATTTAGTCAAATGCCAGCATATTGATATATCTTCCAGTTATTATGATTCATAGGCAACTCTAAATAGGTGAGTGTGTAGTCTGGATTTAGAGGAACTCAGTGTTTCAGCTGTTTTGCAGTTTTCTGAATGCATTTTAGGACAGATTAAGCATAATGTTTGTCAACGGTACATAAAATCTAACGTAGTTAGTTGTAGCTTCTCAGTTAATTTGTTTTAAATCAATGTTCACAGTAAGATAACAATAGAATGAAACTTTGGCTAAGATTCGCTCATTATTGTATAAAAGGGTGAGCTTGATTTGTTAGCCAGAAAGTACTGGGCTGTGGGAGATTAATGATTTAAACTGAACTTTAACTTAGATCACTTTGCATCTTTCAAAAAAGTATAATTTAACTTACTTTAATTTTATTATTTTGAAAGTAAGGGAGTGTAATTGAAAAAACAAAAGCCTCCAGGTTCTTCAAAAATAAAACTGATTCTATTCCAGAAATTCAATATTCTCTCTTTATTCATTCATAATTTTGAACCTTGTTCTTAATATTATTTTGTATGATGTCCTTTGGAGCATAATTGATGTGCAGACATGAAAACAACACCTTTAAGTCTAGATTTAGTAAATGATTTCCAAATATTTTTTGCTAATCTAGTGAGGAGAAAAGAGCCTTTAAACATGTTTTGATGCTCTAGTAAAGTACTGGATACTTTGAATATAAGGATTAATGTGTGCCCACTATGTAAATATAAAAACAATAATGTCCTTTCAAAGTGAAAAAACTTCCTGTTTCATTCATTCAGAACCTGACATTAACTAGTAACCTAAGAGGGAGTTCACAACCGGTTGTTTTTTACATGTCAAACTGAATCCTCAAAATGTGAAAGAGTTAAAGTTGTCTCTTCTACATTAATTGTATTGATAATGATTAGAGTTGATAATGAAGGCAAGGTTCAGGCAACTAGAGAGTATCCATTAAAAGTTAAAATGTTAACTTTAAATAATAGAAACTTGCAATTTGACTTCAACTTGAAAGCACTTGTTACATTCTGTAACCGCACTATTGTGGTGATTTTTATTTATTCTCTATGAGTCTCTGCTTTTGCATATTTTCCCCCAGTGGTCAGAATTTCTATATGAATAAATGACTAAGTGCAGACTTAGAGATGTCCAAGAACCACAAAATAGGAGAAGAGTTTCCACTTCGCAGAAAAAGATTCTGTCTTTGGTCTCATGCCTGATATGTTCTCTAATTAGGTTCAGGGATGATTCCATACAGAAGTTACAGGGTTTACCAAACTGGAAAAAAAAGCAATCCCTCTGTGACCTTTAGTCGTACTCCGTTCTGAACAAGGCTTTCTTCGTAAAAACTGAGCCTAAAAAGGAATACCAAGGCAGCTAAAAATAAGCCAGCAGCTTAAACGACAACACTGCTGGAGTCATCAGACAACCTGAAGCGTAACAGTCAGAATGTACTGCCTTGTTAGGGGAATAATCTCATCACCCTACAGACAATGATGGGGCAGAAATACAAGAGCTTAACTTAGAAAAAGAGACTGTGGGGAGTTAAGAAGAAATAAAGGGTCTTTTGTTTAAATAAGTTGAAAAAAAAACAGAATATTTAAAGAATTTGCTTTTATGTAACTTATCAGCTGCACACATTTGTCTTAAATGCTCTGTTTACGTCTAACTCAAAGTGAGATAAGTTCATCCTCATAAATAATTCAAAAAGTTATAATACTTAAAACATCAGCATTAGAATGAAGGCAAGAAATGACGGTTAGTTTGAGAATATAATTGTAAAATAGATTTTAAAAAACACCATTTAAGATTATTTATTTTACAATTACAGCTTAAAATTGAAATAAATTGCATATTTGCCTTGGAAAATGAAGTCCACTTAAGTCCTCCAAATTAATTTTTTTTTTTTTTCTTATTTGAAGTACATATTTATATAATATGTCCCAACTCAACTTATTTATTTCCCAAACTGCATTGGGTTTGCTTATTACGATTGCAGAACGTGAGAGAAAACTCAAAACATTTTGTGCTGGAAGCATCAAACATTGCAACAGCAGACATTAAAGTCTGCTCTAATCTCTAATCTGTAAATTGTACCTGCTTTAACAAAACCACAGTCTGACTCTTTAGAAATGACACTGGGTTGCATTTTAGGCTCTTAGATGAGAGGGACATATTGCTCTCTTGGTAAAAATAATGGTGTTTGCTAATTTTGACAAGCCAATATCATGAGATCCAGCTAGTTTGGCTCTGAAAAGAAAGTTTTAAAAACAAGCTATGTATTATTTATACTGATTTTGTTGCAAAATCTTAACTATTTTAGCATAAAGCTTAAAATCCATAAAATGTACCACAAGCACATAAATGCACCAGAAGACACGTCTTTCGTTTTAAGAGTTTCTCTCTCTGTCATTACACCAGAAACTAATAGAATGTTTTCAATTCTCTGTTCCAACACATTTCCATCACTGTTTACGCACCGTATTGCCAGTAATGTTTGAATGGCGAGAAGACAAGATTTTTTTCTATCCTGAATTGCATGCGTGCTAAGGTTTATGCATTCATGAAGCATTACTGATTAAGACAAAACATGCAGCTTTGTTAAAATCTTAGTTTACCAAAAAAAAAAAAAAAAAACATGGTTTTATGCCTGACGTGGAAAAGTCTAATCTGAAATCAAGATCTCAGTGTTTGTGTCTGCTGCACACTGAAAGTTAGTAGGACATTCATTCAGTTTATGACTACTGGATTAAAAAAACTGACAATGACCAAAATAAATAAGCGTTTTAATGGGCAGTTATTTATGAGCGGCAGAATTTATTTCAAAGCTCTACGTCAGTAAACGTGAGTACACTGGGGTGTCAGGGGCTGTTCCTGCTAAATCACACAGTTCTCGGATCTCCATCACATGGTGTGCTGTTCCTCACACACAAGCTGCCACTGTTTTCTCATTGCCCAGTTCTGTTACCATGGTAGGTAGAAGGAAGTGAGTAGTGTCAATGGCACTGTGTTACAGTTGTCCCAATTGTGACTTATCAAAGTGCTAGAAATCCTAAATGAATCTATATCCACATGAGGTGCAACACTTTTGTCTAAGTGTGCAATCAATTCGATATCTAGCATGTAACGGCTCATTGCTTACAGCCATGTTTGGGCAAAAAATGGAAAGAAGCATTAGTGAAGCTAAACTAAAGGACAGGCTGTAATAGAGCACATATGTTAGTAGGGCTTATTCAATGGTAATTGCCTTCAAAATGTAAAAAAAGAAAGATAAAGAAAAAGAAAATGCACATTTACAGATGGACTACATAACAATAAATGTAATGGATGAGCATTAATATTAATACCAGAAAAAAACAATTTAATCTTCTTGTGTAAAATTTCATCAGGGAAGTCAAAGGCTGAATGCACAACTTCCTGTTTTCTTTCAAGCAGTGGAATGAAAAGGACTGAAGCGGGTGTTTTAACTTACAAGAATTTCATGAACAAATGGACGACTCATTAGAAAAACTAAGTATCACCTCCCTGATTTCATAAGACGTATAAGGGAATTAGTAGCCAGGTGCCACTTTTCTAGTGCATTTGATTAATTTATCATAAATAACTGTGAAAACTTTTATAAAAACACAGTATTTGTCATTTTGTTGGTCAGGCACATGCACATTTGTGTGAATACAACCCCAAAAAAGAGAAAAGCAATTACTGCAGCATCTGAACCTGAGACTTGTACCAAAAAGGTTGAAGTACTATCATGCCGATATTCCAAAGAGTGAACAGCTCAATCAATTCACCCTTAGGTGGGAGTGTCGACTGTTCAGAGAAACTACCAAAACCCAATCACTCTATCTCCAATGCTGCAGACATAAATTAGCATGTTCAGTGTGTGCTAGCAATAAGGAAGCGGTAAGTGCTGCGGCCACCTCCAAACCCAATCTCATTCTTAGGTTATGCAATAGCAGAGCTTAGCAAGCAGCCATGCAACCTCAAACATGCTAAAATTCTTTTCAGCGTGTCTCATCAGAAGAAATTATTTCCACAAAATACATTTCTAATCTCTAAAATTGTGGGCTGAATGAAATTATGTGGTACATCACTGGTTTTAACAAAGGGGGCTTGGCAGGTTGTGTGTTCACATAGGGACTGGTTGGTTTGAGATTTTTTTTTCCCATGATAAATTAAATCATAATTTGCTTGCTTTTTGTGTCTACTCTGATTATAGTTGTTTAAAATGTAAAAATGGTCAATGATTTAAAATATAGGATTATGTCAAATAAAGGAAACACAGAAAAAAAACTCTAAAAAGTGGCAAATACTTTTCTAACAGTACTAGTGTTGACTAAAATGCCTTTTTGGAGGCTGGGAAATTATTACTTGTTAGTTGACGGATGACATTCAGTAGCTAAAACTCAATGGGTTATGGCAGATCCAAAATGGTTTACAGCCAGGCATCGTCCTGCACTAGTGGTCAGGAAAACGTTTTAGAGGTCGTATTGCATTTAATGTCAGATCCAGAGAGATTTGTGGACAACCTGCAGCAGTATTTTTACTCTGAGAAAAGATGACTCAATACTTTTCATGTGAATACTTTTCAAACTTTTTTTTTTTATCTCACTTCTTTGCTATTTGTACATGAGAGATAGATTATCACTGACCAAACACATTAAAGTGGTTTCCATTTCCCAGAGAACCTCTTTACTTTCTCAAACTACATCACATACATAGCAATCGGCTGTTTGATCCATTGTACTTGAAGGCTTTTCAAGATAACTTGTGTGTTTCCACAGGACAACATCCAGTTCATGACGAAATGTCGACATGTAAATTCCCAACACTGTGTTTCATTTTTCGGTATCTGCTAAGGCACAAGCCAAAGTGTCTGGGACTGATCACAGCTGATCTGAACACAACCTCAAACGTCAGCGGTCAGCACCACCAATGCTAATATCAGTTATAGCTAGCCTAATGCCAAGACACTGTCCAGTTCACTTCAAGTTCCCACACAGCAAGTGGATTTCTGGCACTGACTCTGAGTCTCTTTACTTCTGTCAGCTCCCAGTTTGTTGAATTGCTAACAGGGTGAACTGATAAATATCTGTACTCCTTCAAATAAAAACAATCTGCTTCCTTTTGCAAAATCTTTCAATTGCAGAATGTTCATCTAGATAATCAGATGCTAAAGTTTCTTTGGTTTGAACGATCATTGTTACAGATGAGGCTGTTGGTGCATTTTGTTATATGCATATGTTTTTTATTGCTCTGTTATTTTATGCAAGTGCTATTGTTCTTTGTTTTGCTGGTGTTGTCCATATGTATTTATTCTATTCTTACCACAGTTTTAAAGATTTCAGTTTGTCTAAGCTAAACATTTTAGACACCAACTTGGTGGTTTCCAAATGAGACTGGTCACAATGTGACGTCCTGACCGTCTCTCTTACTTCCTGTCCCTTTGCTCGGTCTCTGTTGCAATCACTCTGGTGTTTCCTCTTTCTTACAAAAGGCTGTGACCTCACATTACATGTTTTTGTTGGGGTTTTTTTTGTAAATTCTTAATTTTTTTGCAGGATAAATGAAGACTTAAGTTTCTTGCTGTGTAATTTGCTGTGAAGAACAGTCTTTCCATTTGCGTTACCATGAGATTAGAATTTAGTCTCATCTGATGAGCTGCTTAACATGCTGCACGAGATGGTTGGAAATTTGCCTATCACACTCTCCGTTGCTGTCATTTGCATCTGCGCAGCCAGACTAAAAATAATTCAAACACTGCATGCTTTCAGTCTCAGAGACTGCTGTTTGTTTGGTTAGACCAGCAAGGAGGAGAGACTGAAAAGCAACAGCAGACGGGAAAGGAGAAGAACCAGCGAGACATAATAGGGAGTAAGGCATCAGGAGGAGGAAGGCATTCAGGCGCTGAATGTGTTGTTTCGAACTGTGAAGTAGGAGGAGAAGCGCAGTAGGGGGGAGGAGGAGGAAGGGGTACTTCCTCTTTAGTCTGAGTAGAGCTGCTGAGGTATCCCAGCAGCCCCAGTCTGTGGCGACAGGAAACCTTCGTATAAAAAGCTGCATCGCAGGGGGAACCCTCCTGAGTACCTCTTAGACACAGCATGACCAGGACCAAGAGCCTGAGAGTGTGGACCTAACAAAACAATGCCCAGCATAAAAGCCAAACCACCCAGCATTCATCACTTCATCATGGACCGAGATGACAGGAACAAAAACGCCACACTGTGAGTACTTTTAAAATGGGATGTGTTGTAGATATGCTGACTTGGTAATTATTTAAGATATTTGTTAACGACATGATTTATCTGACATATTCTGATTTTTTTAAACTCATAATTAACTTGTTATTATGAAATTTTAGAAAAAATGGGGAATGGTAATAAAATCATCTTTTTGGGGGCAAAATAACATTGTGATTACATTTAGATGTTAAGCTCTTCCTTTTTATTTACTTACATTCTCATCATGCTTTCACATACACACACTAGAGTCTCATTTAACAACAGCAAATCAATGAAGGATGAACTCATGTATATCTTATTTCTGCACAGTGGAAAGAACTTTATGTGTCGACTCCAGTGCATGTTCTCACCGACGACTCAATGCTCAGAGAGGTGAGGAATCTTTTGTACTGTTTTGCATCAATTTCAGTTTTAAAACAGCCAGCCTGCTACAATCATCTCCATCTATGGCATCACGAAAGGATTCAAATGATGTAGAGGCACAGTGTTTGCTTTGGAACGATACATGCTAGTGCCAGCTAATCCCAGGGTTCAACATTTCTGTATGGACTTGATAAGCACATCTGCAAAGGCCTTCCTGGCCTGAATGCCTCAGAGCCTTTTCTGTCCTTGTAGATTTACTTCACTCAAATTTGATTCTGGTTAAGTAATCCAACTTGTTTTTTCTCCCAGCGGGCTAAGTTTAGAAGACACACAACAATGGTCACAGTCTCTGGAAAGACTTCTTGAATCTAAATGTAAGTTGTTTTCCTTTTGGGAATTAAAATGCTGCTGAGATAGTAAATTAGGTTTAAGAAAATGAAAGTTTGCATGCAATAACTCACTTACAGAATGGTCCAAAGGAATGCTATTTGCGCCTTAAGCGTGGCTAAGCCTGCTGTTGTTTGTTCCTCCCCCAGATGGACTGGCCACCTTTCGTAACTTCCTCAAATCAGAATATAGTGATGAGAATATTGAATTTTGGCTCACTTGTGAAGACTACAAGAAGATTAAGTCTTCATTTAAATTGTCCTCGAGAGCGAAGAAGATTTATGATCAGTTCATCAAAGCAGAATCACCTAAAGAGGTAAAGCAAGTTGGGAGATATCTTTCCATTCAGACACAGACACCCACCCACACACACACCCACACACACACGCACCCATACAACTTCTGTTTTACATTTTGAGCTCCATGTGTTAGTGAAAAAAACAGCAGCTCAAATGTTGAATATCCCATCTCTGGTTTTTGGCTCAAATCCCCTTCATACCTTTCTATCTGTGTGCCTCATTCCAGATCAACATTGACTATCACACTCGAGAGCAGATCAAAAGAAACGTCAAGACTCCCACCATGCACTGCTTTGACGAAGCTCAGAAGATAGTTTACGGGCTGATGGAAAGAGACTCGTACCCGCGGTTCCTCCGCTCGGACATTTATAGAACACTCCTGGAAAGCCTCGCTGCTGACGCCACAACGGGATGAAAGCACGGTCAGGAGGAGAGAGGAAGGAGAAGAAAACCCATAACTGGAATCTTTGAGGCTCCTTCAGGCGGAGGAACTGAAAAGGCAGGAGGGTCATCCATTGTGGGACTAGGACACAATCAGAGGCCCGCACACATCGGCGATGCAACTCCTGTTCTACACTAATAACAGAGCGGATCCCTACATTTAGCACCACTCACCTGAAGACTTTTTCTGAAGCAAATTTCCCCAATGATTACCCCATAGACACTGTTGACAAAGGATGAAGACAGTGCAGGACAACTGAACGCCTTTCACAGCGAACCAATTAATAAGGTGACAGACTTCTGCACCAACAGTGAAGCCGCAACATATGCAAAGAAAGCCTTAGATGCCTTCTGGCCTTTTTTGGAGAGGTGTTTCCTGTGCAGATAGAAGATAAGAGATACAACTGTCACAACTGCTTAACTCCCACTCTCACTTGCGTGTGTTAGAGAGGAAAAAAGGAGACACAAAGTGAAACGAAAAAAAAGTAGAATTTTATGATGGCACTTAAATACCATTTACTCAGAATAAGCTGTAGCCAAAGTCCTGGTCAAGAAATCGGAGCACTAAGAGAGACAGAAAATCCATCGCAGGCTGAGGATTTAATAATGATCTGTCCTTTTTTAGTGAGAACTATTTTAAAGCATCTTTCTTTCTTTAAATCTAAATTGAGTTGGAAATGCATGTATATTTTTCATTCAAAGGTGGCCCATAGAGAAGTTTTTTCCCCTTTTTTTTCCCTTTTCTTTTAACTTCTTTAGCATTGATTATTGTCAGAGTACCTTTTCCAAGAATTGTCTTTAGACTGATATGTACAAAGAAAAAAAATCATGCATATTTTCCAAAACTTCTTTGTGGGATCTTGACAAATAGTTGCACTTTTGAAACCGAGAACTTCCCATTTTGAGACAGACTACGTCAAATTTAATTCGTCACTTGGTCAACAGCTTGCCAAAACTCAAACCGACATCTTACAGCACTGAAGCATAATGAGTTTTGCATTTGATAATAATAGAATTAGGACTACTATTACACGGCACGAACATGTGGTTAAACCTATATATTCTAGGACTGGGCCTTATTACTGATTGTCAAAGCATGAATAAGAGTGAATAAATGCTTATTAGGAGTTATGTAGTTAAATTAACTTAAAATTTGAACATTGTTTTATTTATTGCTTACTGTTCTGTCACAACTTGAGTGCAAAGTTTGTTGTAGAGTTGAAGTGCTTCTTTAACTGCTGGTGGATTTAAATGATATTAAATTATTTGAACCGCTTAAAAAAATAAGACTTTATTTTTCTCTATCACATGGACTTAATCTCCTCATCCTGACCTTTTTCAGTCCTAAATATGTTCAAAGAAGACAGCACACTTTTGGAAAAAGGCTTATCTTAAAAGATTGCGCTATAAGCTGAAGTGATGTCGTCGGCACATAACAGTCTGTGGTATTGCATAACACAATAATACGTCATAGAAGAATGAAAAAAATAGTCAGCAGTTTTTTATGAACATGTGCTAAATGCTTATAAGTGTCTTTAATTTAAATATTTAATTCCTTTTATGTTAAGTTTAAAAAATTGTTTTTGTTGGAAATTATGAAAATGATCAGAAATCAAAAGAAGTGGTAATGTAAAAATCCAATTTCTTTCAAATGAGTACAAATATTACAGATTTTGGTTTATTTTTTACTAAAAAAATAATGACAAAGAACATTACCTTGTTGATAAATCCAACAGGGGTGGTTAGTGTCCCCCTACTGCTTTGTGGTTTGAAGTCAGTGAAAAGCATTTTTGACACACAAGTGGCATGTGGGTTTGAGTAAACTGGAAAGCTTGGACTTTCAGTTTCCTGAGAAATCAAGAGGTCAGAGAAACGGGATTTTCCCCATTTTATTTTGCGTCATCCTTTTGTCTGCAGGCCCAAATGTGTCTAAATGCAACAGAGATTTGACCTTGGGTAAACAAACTGTTGCAAATTTAGCAAACTTTGTTATTGAGCTTGTAGTAGAAACAACAGATTTTACTACACTTTGAGTATTCCAATGGAGAACCTCAAGGTTCTGGTTCTGATGGACTCAAACCCAAATACTTAATTTTGTCTCATAGAAATTCAATGTTTGCCCAAATATAGCAATATAGACTCAGACGAGGTGATTATTTATTTATATAAATATAATTATATACTGGCACTTTACTTTTTGAAATGTCCAACCTTTTTAATTTAGGTAATCCAGTAAAAAGAAGTAAACAAATAGCCACATCGGAACTTTATTATACTTTATTTCTGTAGTCCCAAAGCAAAAATAAAATTTACATCACAAGCTAATATCATGCAGTTCCGGTGTTTCATGCTGTCAGCTCAAAACTGCAGCCCCATTAGCATTGCTAAATCATTCATGCTAAAATAACTCATAATTGCTCCTCCATACTGAACAGCTCTCTGATACCAGACAGCATGTCCACAGTCCACAGCTAAACTCTAATGTTATGTGGAGTCTTCAGTGATGTAAATCATGAGCCAATCAATGAATCCAGCTAGCTGTCTATCAAATCACTTTGGCGCCATACCTTGCGCAGTCCTGCTAGTAGTAACTCTGCAGAACCATGAAGACCAAGAAATATGGCAGATAGGTCTGTTATATAGGACAATTAGGTCGTAAAATAATTTTTTGCATCTTTAAACATCTCAGAGCACAGCAAACAGTAGAAGGTGTGTCCTCTGGTCAGATGATATTCAGTTGAAATGATTTTGGCCTTCATAAATTACGCATCACTCCGCAATTATATGCGTTTTTGTGATGTTGCTTCCCATAAACTATTATAAGTAATAAAATATTTTAAATACATTAAGATGACAAAATGTAAGAAGGATCAAAGGTTGTGAATCATTTGTAGCACACAGTAACTGCCTCTGACGTTCCCATAAAGATATGATCTTCTCAACAAACTAATGACATTGAAGCACAACAGTAAAGGTGAATGTGATGTACTGTATTTGAAGTTAGTGTAGAGGGCAAAAACCATTCAAAACTTCTCACTGAGGCAATGATGGCACAGAAAACTTATAAAACAAGGTACTTTTGATGAGATCTTACATCTTGTGTATAAACCTGATGCTGGAAGTTCAAGTAATACAAAATATACCAGCAAAAGCTCAAGACAGCAAAGCTTTTTGTTTTTCTAAAAAGACTTCCATGAAACAATCCTAACATTGCAATATTGTAAAAAGTGGTGAGACATTACCCACTTGACTTTTCTATTACTTCTAAAAGATAAATTGCTGGAGTTAGTCATCCTGGTGCTGCTGATTCCCTCAAAAAAAATGTTTGACTCTGCAGCAGAATGCTTTATGGGTTGTGAATTATTAAACTGATCCCGTCTAACAGTCTCGTCTCTTTCATGTTCTTATTTTACAAGTAGACAAATCGATCTTTTGACTTCATACAGGTTTGTCATTAAACAGGGACAATACTTCCAGTATTAGATCAAACTATAAAGTAAAAGTTGCACGTAAATTCCATTTTTATATAAAAGCTCTACATTCTTCACTCTGTGTCACTTATGAAAGAATGGCCACGATGGCCACAGATAAATCCCCCCTAACGTGTCTATCTTCTTTAGTATCGTTCACTGCTAATTACGGTTTAAAGTAGCTGTCTGTGGAAGTGGGAGGTGCAGATGTCCGTCTTCAATGCGCTCATTGTGCCTACTACCACGCACACTCACACTGTGCAAGTTGCAAGTTAACATTGAGCAATTTTGGCCTCATAACTGACTTCATGACTTCATTTTTCCACAGAAACACCAAAAATATTTAGTAGCCTTAAAGTCTTAAGGCAACTTTAACATTAATCCTGCATAATTATTTTAAAAAATATTCCTTTTTTGATTAAACATACCAGGAACATCCGTGTTTACATTCGGTGTCAATGGCAGATTTTTCCATCCAGGATTCAAGACAATTGTAAATGGAAAATGCAAATTTGTGTGCTTTCCACTCACAGCCATCATGCAAATATTGAGGATAAAGTACTTTTAAAAAATAACGAAAGAAAAAAAGTAGTGACAACAGGACAGATGGAAAATATGGAAAATATTGCACGCTCATATGTATTCTAAACATGCAGCCATGTTTATTTGCATCTATGTTTTCATTCATTCAAATTGCCATCAGCTACATTATTTTTTTCCTGTTTTACAAGACTTATCTCTTCTTTGTGGGTTATTTGAACTTTTTGCTTTGCAAGTTGCAAATGTGAACGGAAAATGTGGATAGATTTTCATAGCACTTTTATTTGGTCTTCTTGGAAATAAGAAAATATTTCAATGTGAACTTTACAAAGACCCGACAGACCCAGTGAAATCTCTTTTATCTTCAGAAAGTTTTAAGACAAAATTTAGAAAAAGTCAAAGCAGTGTTAGGTTACATCACAATATTCCAAGCTTTGAATATCTCAAAATTTTGTTTTATATACAAATATGAGAACGGAGATCATATGGCACAACTGTAACCTTAGCAACTCATGGCTGCCAAGATAAACTGAAACACCAAGTGAGGAAAGCATTAATGAAAGAAGCAGCCTGGGGCGTGGCGGAGCCGAATGGGTTGACACTTGTCGCATGTCTTCCCCCTCTCTGATAACCTACTTTCCTGTCTGACCACTATAAAACAAAGGCCACTTGAACTGGAAAATATCTGTTTTGATAAATAAAACCAAAAGAAACAAATGAGAAAAGCAATCAAAACACGAATGCTAACCGTGGAGGAGCTGCATAGTTTCATAAGAAAACATTACGACCAGGATTTCACATTATGGCCCCAGCAATTCAATTGTTTGAAACATATTCAGATGGGAGGCATTGTTATGTTTGTCTTCAATTCAACCAAGGTACAGGTAAAAGCAGATGCCAGAGTTGAAATTGAATGATTCCAAATGAAGACCTGAGGAGCCTGGCATGAGGAGAACAGGACATTGAACTGGCATGAGAGAAACAGAGGAATCCACCAAGGAGCTATGAAAAAACCAGGAGCTTAAATACTGATAAAGGGAAGGAAAATGACAAAGAACCAGGTGAGCAGTAGGATGAGAGCAGGAAAACTGAGGGAGGAGGAATAATATTTAAAAAGGGAGCCGTATCAAGACCCAAAAGGATATGTACAAAACGGAAAATTCTTGAAGCTGACATAAGGAAATACATTAAAAGGCATAAAGAAAATAACACCCGGAATAAGTAAGAAACTAAACAAAAATGAAATATCTAATGAACTAATAAGACAATAAGAACATCAATGAACACACTGCACATGGCATGAATGGCAATAATAACTAAGAAATGATCAGAAAGAAAACCACAAAAAAAAACACAAACAACTTTAATAATGACAGGCAAAGCCATAGTTCAGACCTAAATCTAATGTAAAATATTTAGCAAAGCTTAAAAACTGATTGATCTAGACTTTAAAAGGAAGAATTGGCAAACATTTCAGTCACTATGCAGGCTGGTGAAGACATACACCAAAAGTACATTTTATTTTGCAATAACATGACAATTATGTACAACTATATGTTGCTATATCATTTAAAATTATGTTAAAATACATTGAAGTTTGCAGTTTCAACTGGCTAAAATACCTTTGCTATTATTTCTAAGAAGTCGTTTGCCATTCAGGAACATGTTTTATAAAACGCATCACTGATAATGGACCTCTGACCTTCCCTATTTTCAGCTTATATAACAGCAAGCTTACCAGACTATGTAACTCTGAAATACATGACAATGTTGACACTCATTGTGAAATATTTTGCTTTGTGGTTAATCTGCTAGTCTCATTCTAGCAAACTGCTAGCTCAACCATACTGTGAGAAGATCAGTTTCTTCAAATTGAGCCGACTCAAAAGGCTGTTAGCTGCATGCAAGATACTAACTGCTGATAACAACTCTGAAAAACCCCAAACGAAAACAATTCACATGATCACTTTAAGGGTTCTGACTTTTTAATGTAAAGATTAGAGACATGGCAAGTTTAAATTTGCAACCACTGAACAAATAAGAGCTACTTTTTTACTTGTCTTATTGTTAAGGTAGCACGAAAAAGGAAGCTTGACTCACAGATCAAAATTGTCTGTTTTTCCAAAACGAAATCGTTCCATTGATCCAGACTAAATAAAAACTTACTATTACCCAGGTTTAATTATAAATGTTATACTTATTTCACAAGGTTACTAGACACTGTGGCTTGCTACAAGACCACCACACAAATATGTGCCTCTGTTTTTTGTCAGAGAAGCAGTAAAAGAAGCGACCAATCAGTCTTAGTGTCCTTTATCATGTGAGTAAAAATAGCAACAAATTCTGTCAGACAGGATGTTGGAGAACTTGAAAGGAAGGGAGTGTTTTCAGAAGCGTTTTGATGTCTATGACTTTCCTGTCCCTCAAACCAGATAGACTTCAATCAATCGGCGCACGCCGAGTGTCAGATCTCTGACCTTTTTTAACACTCACAACCTATTTTTGTCCTTTGCAAAGGTGTGCCTATTGAAGTGAAACCAAGTGAAGAGTAGGATCAAACCCCTTGGAGGCACTTTTGTCTCTCACTTCTCCTGGTTAAAAAAAAAAATTCAAATTTTGTTAACATAAGAAGATAGGTAGTTATTGTGGGTTTGTTTCACTTTTATTATCCTACGGACTTTGGTACAAACTATTATGTTTATATATACACAGATATTCCTGGGTCATTGAGACATAGACAAGAAAACATTGTGCTGAAATACAAGGCATACCTATAACCTAGTACTGAATACAGAAAACATTGTTAAACCTGTATGCAAGTCAAGCGACTTAAACTGCAATAAATATTGCACATATTATTTATCATAAAATTTGTGTGTGTTTTCACAGATAGCACACTTGACAAAACACGCATACTTGAAAAACGTGTACAGTGTGTACGAACACGGTAGTGACAGCGAATTCCAACTGAAATCACGAACAGTTGGTTGAGTACATAGCATCTACATACCTATGGAGGAAGAAGTTGTGGAACTGTGTGTCATAGATTTGTTGCCAGAAATAACTCCCACTTTATAAAGGTGCCGTCTTTACAAAAAACTACCGTTATTTCAAACATCCTCTTTGAAATAAACAGATAAAAACTCCTTTCTCCAGCTCTCCAGTAACGTCTTTAAAGTACTATAACAGCTGCCTCCTTGTTTACTATAAACCAGTGGAAGCTACAGGAATAATCTTTCAATTCAAGGAGCATAGAAAATATCAGATGTATAAGACTAATTTACATTTTACATTCTCCTTATTTAGACTGTTGGTATTTTTTTTTATTGCCGTCATCACAGTCTGCCAGTGTATCTTTCTTTAATTCACACCAGAGAAATTCTTCAACCCGTTTGTCTAGTTATGATGCCAAAACATAGCACCATAGAGACGTGCTGCTGACTGAGTACATAGTGTTGCCCAAAACAAAAACACAGACCTCTGTGCTGGTTGTGACCTGTTCAACATTACAATATGCAAGAAAAATGTCACAATTAAGTCATAAACTGTCACCACACTATTTCCCAACACCTCAGCATGACCAGGTATTAAGCTTGGACTCATTTACCATTTAAAGGTAAGACTTTTGTTGGAATAAAAAAAAAGATCAGTTTTTCAAAGCTGAACAAATGTGTTGTTCAGCATTGTCAGCATAATACTGAGTTATGCTGACAAAACAGCAGCAAACTACCTAGATCCAATCAGGGTAAAACAGGACATTCTACATTTTCCTTTTTTCAAACACATTTCAATATTTTGATATTCATTGAACCTTTTAACAATAAGAGGTCTATGTAAATCAGAAAACACATAAAATGTTTCTAAAATATAATACATGCGATTTCTGATTAAAATACTTTTGGAATTGCCCACATAAGTAAATCAGATCAATTTAAAAATAAGACAACATTGCTGCTCAGCATTTTGAAGTAGGTGCTCCCTGTTTAAGCCTCAGATATTTACATCCTTCCCAGCCTCTCAGGTGTTGGAGAAGAGGCTCCAACTGATTTTTTTTTCCTCTCCACTTCAAATAAGAAATTAGATCAATAAATATCATGATCCACAGGCCCAAATACAGCTAAAAAGGAAACATTGTAAAATCACAATATGTGGCTCATGAAACACAATAGTTCACATTTCTAATCATTCTTATGTCATTTTGTCACATTATCCTGGTAAAAGGGCCACTACCATAAGTAAACACCATTTACATTCATTAGGGCAAATGTTCAGGCATGTCCAATTAAAATGTTCCTAATGATGAAATCTCGATTTAGAAGCCAAGAAAAACAAGTCAGCGATGAAGCACTTGTGCGTGA